CTTCCTGATTTGGTATTGCATATGCATACGCATTTGGTATTGCATATCTGGCCACTTGGAGAAATAATCCATCACCACACAAATGTACTTGTTTCCAGCTCGAGTTTGGGGCAGAGGACCGGCAATGTCGATGGCTACTCTTTCCATTGGTGCACCAACTTGATATAACTTCATTGGAGCACGTCCCGTATGCCTGGGTCCCCTTTTAGCACAACATGTATTGCATGTTCTGCACCATTCTTCCACATCTTGTCTCATACCTATCCAGTAAAATCTGTGTCGTAGGTTCATATGCAGTTGGTATGCAGTTCATATGGCATACCAAATCTGAAGAAGAAATCACTAATAGCCAAAGCTATGGTTGTAGCTTCCTGATTTGGTATTGCATATGCCTCAGGCCACTTGGTGAAATAATCCATCACCACACAAATGTACTTGTTTCCAGCACGAGTTTGGGGCAGAGAACCAGCAATGTCGATGGCTACTCTTTCCATTGGTGCACCAACTTGATATAACTTCATTGGAGCACGTCTCTTATGCTTGAGTCCCCTTTTAGCACAACATGTATTGCATGTTCTGCACCATTCTTCCACATCTTGTCTCATACCTATCCAGTAAAATCTGTGTCGTAGGTGACTCAATGTTTTTTTAACTCCGAGATGTCCTCCTGTTACAGTATCATGGGATTAACGCAACACAACTTCCCGTAACTTTCTCGGTATAACCGTTTAACAGGTCGTCACTTTCCCATCTGCAGTTTCCCATCTCCGGACACAAATACCATCTTCAAGCTTCAATTGGTCCCATTGTGCCCAATAGTTCTTTGTCACAGGGCTTAGACTAGACACCTTCTCCCAAGCAGAGTGCAAAACACTTGCTTTTAGGAAATCAATCATTGGCTTCAAATCTCCTGTTCTGCCTTGATATCTATATTTGGTTCCACTTTACCATCATCATCTCTTTCAGGCGGCTTGACTTTAGCTTGATTGCACCTAATTAGTTCAACCTCTCTTTTAACAGTTACTGGAACTT